TAAATTCAAAATTTATTTTGATGATTTATTTAATTATGTTTTATTTGAAAAAGAAAAATAGAATCAAAATTTATTTTGTCTCATTATTTCTCATCTAAACTTTTATCCTAAATAATTGTTTGAATGCATTTAATATTTGTTTAAATCAGGAGTTCATTTCAACCCAAAAATAATATCCAAATCAGAGGTTCAAACAGCCCAAAACAAAAGTTCAAACAGTCCAGCACAGCAGCATGCCAAAAGGTTCAAGTGAAAGATATTCAAATTAGTAATGATGGAGTAGAAAATATTCAAATTAGTAATGATGGAGTGGAAGATATTCAAATGAATACAACGGTTATAAACAGCTATAAATTTCATTATATATACCAAAGTCTCTGATGTGAACAAGTGACAGCAACTACAAATAAGTTACAAAAATAAGAAAATATTCTTTGATCTAAAATCACTCTCATCTATTCTTCGAAAATTTTTTGAGAAGTGTTCTTCAATTTTTGTTTACATTCTCTCTCCGAAATTATACATCAAGTCATATAGCTTTAAGCCCATTTTTCCTGTGTGAAGATTACAGAAAAAATCAGAGTCTCATTTTTATATCTATTTTTGAGAGATAATTCTTGTAGCTTTCTTTGAAAGCAAAAATACCTTATTTTCAATCCTATAAGAGTGTAGTACTCTCAGTGTTTTTTGGACTTAGAAAGTCTGTGTAAAATCCGTAGAGGATTGCTCCATCTATGAAAATGTTGCTAGCACCCTGTGAAGCTAGAGAATAGTGAAAAATCTCAAGTGAAGCTTGAGTTGACGTAGGCCGAGTTGAAACTGAACCATTATAAATTTGTTTGCCTCTCTCTCTCTTATCTTTTTATTTTGTTTAAATTGTCATAGCTATATTTCATATTTTTATTATGCTAAAATCATTAATTGACATAATTGTTAGAACACTTATTTTAATTATTTTTATTTCATTAACTATATTTATCTATTATGTTAGTCATAATTTTTATTAAGATATTATTATTTTTATTTATAAAAACCTAATTCATCCCTCTTAAATTATTTTGGATAACAAATAAGGATAACAAATAAGTCTACATAATCAACCACATGAAAAGTGAAACAATCTAACTGCACGGGTATACTTTATAATGGGTTCTACCATGTGACATACATGATTGATTACGTGGTTGGCACTGATCCATAGTCATGTTGTTAAAATTTTGAACCACAAATTACCTAACTATAATTAATAGCGTATATTAACTACCAAATGAAATTGATTCAACCAATCTTGAAGAAAAAAAAAATGGCTTGACAATCCTTTGATAATCACTCATCATTCATCACAAAGTGTGGTTGTGAAAGAACATATATAGAAAAAGGGAATTTTGAAGATCAAAAATGCTTTAGAGCTCTAATATAGAAGTTCTAATAGCTCTAATGAGAAGGTGGGTCCCACCCTGATGTGATGTTTGTGCCTTTTTTTTTTCTTTGATACATCATTAGAGCTCAAATTAGAGCTCTATATTTAGAGCTCTCTATCATTTCCCTTTTGAAGATACTAGTTAGCCCAAGTAATAATTAAATATGGTAAATTACACTAATTACCAAGCATGTAGTCTCGAAAATTATATTATCACCATTTCAAGATTAAAATCAAGAGTTATGTTACAATTTCTTACTGCACGCCATTACTCAGTATACACCACACATTTTTGTTTTTTTTTGTTTTTTTCATTCACGTTCAACCTTTTTTTTAACCTTAACCCTAACATGAAAGCCATTGTTGCCCTCCTACCTCATCTTCTCTCCATTCTTGACAAAGTCATCTTCCCAACCACATTGCCTCACTGTCACCCCTCATTTCTTCATCGGCCCCGCTCCAAACCCTCATGCCACCAACTCGACACCACCATAACCCAACTACCTTATATATAGGGTTTTCAAAAAGACGAAGGTGGTGAAGAAGAATATCAAGAAAGCATATAAGAATTACTCAGATCTTGGATTTCATAAGAAATAAGAAGAAGAAGAATGGTCGGGAAAAGGCTATAATGATTTTAGAGAAGAGAAACAAAGTATGACGAAAGTGGGTGGCTAAATTAAATTTGTAGCGGTTGGTTGCAGTGGTGATTGTTTGATTGGTGTGTGTTTGTCCAAAATGGTAATTTTGTTGAAGAATAAAATCATAATTAAACAAAATTAAATAAAAATAAAATATTATACGCTGAGATAATTTATGATGTGCAAATAAAATCACTCATAAAACAAATAAGGTTGAAGTGAGGGACTGAAACCTTAAAAAACAAAAACTTCAATTTCATGCCATGATTGCAAAAGGACAATGAATGCATTTGGTGACACTTTTGGATCAAAGCCAAAAGGGCCAAAGAATGGGTAAAATAACACTTTTTGGTCACAAAAACCCACTTGAAAATGTGGTGAAGCTAAGTGACACGTCAACCACACGTATTTCATCTTCAGCTGAAAAGGTATGGAACTATTTTTTTATATGATAAAGAAATGAAAAAAAAATTAGATTATGGCCTTTTCCTCACAAGTTTAGTTATATTTTGTCATTTCTTTTCAAGGATTTGTCAATTTCCAACTCATAAGAAAATGAGTGTACTTTCAGTGATTGAGATATGACTTTAGCACTGTTCAATAAAAGATATGACTTTAGCATGATAGCGAAATTATGACTTTTTAATATTAGAGTAAGTTATATTGATCTATCTTTAAAATTTGAAAATAAATAAATAAATTGTACAATTTTTTTCATCTAAACGAATAAACAAATAATGAGCGGCAAATAAAAAGATAACATATTATTTGAAGGGGAAATTTTTTTTTGAAGTTTGATTTTTATAAGAAAATAAAACTTTTAAGTTTTTAATTTTGTTAGTTTAAATTTTAAAATTTTGATTTATTTTCAATTTAAATTATTTGCTTATTTTCGATAATTAAAAATTGACAGAAAAAATGATATGTGCAAGTTATATTGATCCGTCTTTAAAATTTGAAAATAAATAAATAAATTGTACAATTTTTTTTCATCTAAATGAATAATGAGTGACAAATAAAAAGATAACATATTATTTGAAGGGGAAAAAAAAAATTTGAAGGGGGGAAAAAATTTTGAAGTTTGATTTTTATTAGAAAATAAAACATTAAGTTTTTAATTTTGTTAATTTAAATTTAAAATTTTTGATTTATTTTCAATTTAAATTATTTACTTATTTTCAATAACTAAAAATTGACAGAAAAAATGATATTGTCATTAAATTAAACGAGAAAAAACATTTTATCTATACTCTTTGATTAAAATATATTTTCTCCGTCGATTTTACTCAACAGAAATAGACTGATAGTTTCAAAAGCTTTTGAAGTTTAAATTGATAAAATTAAAAATTTAAAAATTATTTTGTTACAAAAGTCAACCTCTATTTTTTTTTTTTTTTTGGGTGGTAATTCCGCCTTATTTGAATTGCAATCATATAGTAATTATATCAAATTATAGAACTCAATTTATTTTTAATTTTTAAAATTTTAAAGAGTATAATGTACCATTAATATTATTACTACTATTATTATGTGGAACAAAAAAAAAATTAAAAAAATCCAACGATTAGGTGAGAAATGAGATTAATTTCGTTGCACTTTATTTGGAGCGACTTCTTGAATGATGACACCACATGAAAAATGATTTCACTATTACAACTTTTAATGACCAAAAAACAGACACCTTGATTTTTTTTCTCATTTTTTCTCATCTATTTTACATTCCCTATGTGTTATATTTTCTCTCTCTCCTTTTACTCTACAATCCCACTACAAATCAATGTTGAACAACATTCAAGTTTGTATACATTGACCCTTATAAGTCATTTGTAATCATAGCCTACAAAAATCACATTCTTGAAATTTAATAACAGAATGGTATTATATTAAAATTGTGTTCAAATCATAAATTTAAGGAAAGATTTAAAAAGAAAAACAATACGAAAAAAATGTGAACAAAATATAAACTTATTTGCTGTTCTAGTTGCACAGCACCCCAATATTCGTTGACGTAGCAGAATCTGTTTTTTGCTGCTTTCATTACCAAATTAGAAGTGAAATATAGAAACAATATTAGAACTTCACAAAATAACTGGAATACACAACCCTTCAATTTCATGAAACTATCAAGTTCTGGAATCCAAAACACCGTTAAAAACACTTGCAAAGCATCTAATTAGAAGATGGTCTTTGTGATCCCAAGTGAATGAGCCCTTTCCTTTAACAAGCTATGCTTCACGGAGTGCGCTAAAGTGTTCCCAACCACACAGATTTTTTTTGAACTGTCCAAAGCACACTGATTTGCAATAACATTTGAGACTACTACTACAAGAATGTGCTCCCTTTGATATCCAGTATTATGTTGCCAAAAAAAATAAAAATAAAAATATAATATAATGGCAAAAGCTACATCAGATGATTTTTGGCATTGAGACAGCTTCGAGCAGCTATTTATCAAATCTAGTGAATGACTATTTGGATGGAACACCCATAAAAAATATCTGTTGAAGCAAATTTGATGAACCCATTAGCAAAACAATATCATGAGATGGCCCAGAATTTCCTCTTAAAACAAATTTTTGGATGTAGGAAAGGCATTCGTGCATGCTTTCCACATGAAAGGCACTATTTTAGGTTGAGTATTTCAATTCCAAACCATCTTCCACATATCAGTTCAAATCTGGTAAAAGGAGCTGCATAAATCGATGTCATTTGTGCAAAGCTTCTCACATCTTTCAAAGTCCCATAATACAACTTTCAAATCCCCATAAAGCAATATGATATGACATATTACAATGAAGTAATACAACTCATAATTGAGATCTACTTACTGAACCCTGGAGCTTTCAGAAGTGCCACAATGGAATCCCATTCCATTTGATCATGGGCCTTGTTCATATCCAACTTCAAAGCTAAAAAATACTGGTCCTGAAGCACTGCTAGTTACGGGGTGGTTGAGCTACTTTTTCTTCTATATTTTTTAAACCACAATGGGTGACTACACATAACAAAAGACAACAATGAGTTTTCGAACAAGAAGAAGATTAAAATGCACGTATTAACAAAGAAATTATATTGGCTACCAAGAAAATCATGACAAACACATTCATAATTTAAGAAACCAAATTGTCCTAGAAGCAATTGAAGTTGTCTTGAGAGGTCTAACAAGTTATCAGGTGATAAGATTTTCAAAATAAATATTAACATGGATTCCCCATCCCCAAAACTTGATTCTCCATTTGTTATTACTTTTTTGTTTTACAACTTAGCGTTATTAAAGGCAATAGACACACTGAAACGACAAGGTTTCTTAGGGCCTAGGTGCAAGGTGAGGTGCGAGCTTCATTGTAGGGAGGCTCATGTTGACGATAAAAAACAAATAATTTAAAGTTCAACATAAGTAAAATGAATCATTAAATATTTTTAAAACATAAGTACCTAACAAATATGAATATTTTATCATAGACAATTAATTCAACGTTCACATAAACACAAACATCTAACTCATAAATCATTAATATTTTATAGCAACCAAATCCAAGTGTCGAACAAGATAAGCATGGAGGAGTAGAAGTAGAAGTAGAAGTAGAAGGACATTGGGGAAATGATGCAACTTAATGAAATAATCAAACTCGATATAATTTTTACATTTCAATAAATAAAGTTTATTTTTTTTATGATTCAATATGCAATTCTAATTATAGTGATGCACATCAAATTTTTGAATTACAATTCGTTCTCTTTTTTTTTCCTACTAAATTTTGAACCCGGACTAAAGTCCATAATATTTAAATCCGTAGGTAGGGCCTGGGCTTTAGGAATCTAGGATGAGCCAGCCTGTTGACCAGTCAAAGCCCATGAACCTGGGCTGGGCCTTAGAATGCTGGTGTGCTTCCACTCATCATCCCTCACACGAGTAGATAAACTAAGGAAAGAAGGATGAGCTGGATCTTTCTGCAAATTTAGTGACTTAAAATTCAGATATAACAGTTAATCTAGTTTTTGGAAGATGATACTGTAAAAATGTATGTATTTATTATTGATTGATTGTCGTTGTTAAAAAAAAATACTGTATTATTGATTGATATTTGATTGATATGATATTTTGTATTACAAATCAGAGTGGCATTATATAGGAGAGGGTTTGGGTAGTAGGTGAGGAGTAGTGGAGTGTAGTAGGTGAGTGTGAATGGTAAATTCTAACAGGTTTTGAGGTGGAGATAAATTCTAACAGATACGTACCTTTTTCCGAGATGAATTTGAGCACCCAATATGTTCTAAGGCTCCAAAGATACGGACAAGGTCCACGAGAAGAAATTCCTGTTAGCATACTATATTATTATCTGAGTTATTGGTTTGTAATTATTCTATGCCCTCAGGGCTTATCTTGTACTTGTCTCATCTTGTAATTGTTACAAACCCTAATCTTCATCTATATAAATAGGGGATGATATCCTATCAAACCCTAAGCTGATTACTCAAGCTTCATGGTATCAGAGCAGAACCTCTAGGGTTTCGGCTCACCCTTGTTGATCGACCTTTGCACCAACGACACTCTAGGGTTCGAAAACTTACCTACGTTGATCATCTGCTGCGTCGATCAGCAGCTCGTCGATCTCTGCTTCGTTTTTATCACTCAGTCGCCGTCGTCTTTGCTTCACCTTCCTCTATCGATCGTCACTCAGCCGTCTCTCATCGTCGATCTCTGCTTCGTCTTCATCACTCAGTCGCCGTCATCTCTGCCTCGCCTTCCTCTGTCGATCGTCACTCAGCCGTCTCTCAGTCGATCATCACTCAGCCGCCTTCCTCTGTCGCCTTCGTCACTTAGCCACCTTCCTCAATCGATCTCCTCAGCTCATCGACCTTCCTCAGTTCGTCGATCTCCTTCTCTGGCTCTGGTATACTCTCATCTCTGTTTGGTATACCTATGTTGTGTATAAACACCGTACCCATACATATATAAATGAATAACTAAAAAAAAAACAAAACAAAACAAAAACAAAATGGTTTCTTAATTTTGTTATACTTTTATAGTGGTCATTGTGCCTGTTCTTTCACCACCACCTTCTGGGTTTGTGATTGCCACTAATTTTGTTGCGGGTTCGGTAGTATAGTATCCATGGAAGATTCCACCAGTGTGTTCTCTACTTCTCAAACATCGAGAAGTGAGAGTCCCATTATACATACTACCATGACTGAGAACCCCAACCCTAGTATAAAAATCACCACCTCTCTATTTAATGGTCAGAACTACCTAGCATGATCTCAAAGTTTGACTATATTTTTGAAAAGCAGAGGGAAGATGGGGTATGTTAATGGCCGGATACAGGCACCTAGTACCACTGACTCGGGTTATGACCAATGGGAGATTACCAATTCTTTGATTATGGGTTGGCTTATTCATTCAATGGTTCCTGACATTGGTGAGGGCTACTTGTCTATGGAGACTGCCCAGGATGTTTGGGATGCTGTGGCTGCCACCTATTCCCGCAAAGAGAATTTCTCACAGGCATTTGAGTTACGCCGCTCTATTGAGAGCTCATTTCATTGAGAGGAGACTGTTCTTCAGTATTTCACTTTCCTCACCAACGGCTGGAAACGCCTTGACCACCTACAAGACTATAAGCATGTTTGCCCAGCTGATTCTGTCGGATACAAGAAGTTCATCGCACAGGAACGGGTCTTTAAATTTCTGGCAGGCCTAAATGTGGAGTATGATCCAGTTAGGGGTCGAGTTCTGGGTATGGACACTCTTCCCTCACTTCAGGAGGCATTTGCCTATGTACAGAATGAGGAGAGTCGCCGATCTGCTATGATGTCCCCTGTCTCTACTGACCGCTCAGCATTACTGTCTACTCTTCGAGATGGCGTCAGCCTGACTCCCATCCCTCCTTCTGCTGCTAAGGAGTCTGCATTCTGTGATTATTGTAAGAAGCCGCGACATACTCGTGAGACGTGTTGGAAGCTTCATGGGACTCTATCTGAGGGTCGAGGTGATAGGTCTAGTTCTAGAGGAGGTCGGTCAGGCCAGTCTAGAGGACGTGGTTCCTATTCCCGAGCTCATCAGTCTAGTGCCGTTGATACACTTGATTCTAATTCTGCCTCAGTTGGCCAAGCTTCTGATTCTGAGCTTGAGGATGCTCTGCGCCAATTGTTGGACCGCCGGTCTTTTACAACTCTCAGTACAGCTTCCTTATCCTTTGCCCACTCAGGTAACTTAGTCTTTTCTCCTTGTGTTTTCCTGTGTCATAAGTCTTTGCCTTAGATTATTGATTCTGGTGCCTCAGATCATATGTTTGGCTCCTCTGATCTTTTCTCTGCCTATAAGCCCTCTTCAGGTCAGGACAAAGTTAGGATTGCAGATGGTACTGTTTCTTCCATTTCTGAAAAAGGTTTAATCCAAGTCACTCCTACCATACATCTATCTTCTGTTCTCTATGTTCCTAATTTTTCTGTTAATCTATTATCCTTGAGTCGTCTTACCCAGGATTTGAATTGTAATGTAACGTTTTTTCCTGATCATTGTCTTTTTCAAGACCTTGTCACGAGGAGGACGATTGGCAGTGGTAGTGCAGAAAATGGTCTCCACTTCCTAGATCAACCGGACCAACTTGCTTATTCTTCCACCACGTCTTCTGCTACCCCCGCTGATTTATGGCTGTGGCATCGGCGTCTTGGGCATCCTTCCTTTTATTTACTTAAGCATTTATTTCCATCTGGTTTCGCAAATCATCACGTGTTTGACTTTCTTTGTGAGTCTTGTCAATTTGGAAAACAACACAGAGCTTCTTTTGCTCCCAGTTTGAATAAAAGTTTAGTTTCTTTTTCATTAATACATTCTGATGTTTGGGGTCCCTCTCGTGTTATGTCTGTGAAAGGTCATCGATGGTTTGTTACATTTATTGATGATTTTTCCCATGCTACTTGGGTGTACCTCATGAAAGATAAGAGTGAGGTTTTCTCTGTGTTTCGCAATTTTCATAAGATGATTTGTACTCAGCTTGGGGCCACTGTCAAACTATTTCGTTCTGATAATGGCGGGGAATACATAGATTCTGGGTTAGGACAATATTTTTCTACTCATGGCATTATCCATCAGACCTCTTGCACCAATACCCCTCAACAAAATAGGGTGGCGGAACGCAAGAATCGGCATCTTCTTGACATGGCTCGGTGCATGTGTTTTTCTATGAGTGTGCCTCGGCCCTACCGGGGCAACGCTGTTCTCACCGCTGCCCATCTTATTAATCGTCTCCCTACCCAAGTCTTGCAAAAACAAACTCCTCTTCACGTCCTCCTAGGTTCTCAGTCCTTGTTTTCTATTCCTCCCAAAATATTTGGTTGTGTCTGTTTTGTTCATAATCACTCTCCTCGTGGTAAGTTGGACCCTCGCTCCCTCAAGTGTGTTTTCCTTGGTTACTCTCCTACTCAAAAGGGGTATAAATGTTACCACCCTTCTTCCCGTAAGTGGTTTGTGTCCATGGATGTTACTTTCTTTGAGTCCCAGTCCTATTTCTTGTCCTCTCCGGTGTCACCGTCCTCATTTCCGGGGGAGCCTTGGTGTGAAGTGAGTCCTGTGCTTCCTATGGTGGACCCAGTTGTTCTTGCACCACCCTCTTCTACTGTGCTTCCTATGGTGGAACCAGTTGTTCTTGCACCACCCTCTTCTACTGGGACTATAGAACCCAATGTCACCAAGGATAAGGACGGACATGTTTATGTCCGGGACATAGACTGACAACAAGTTAATTAGATACAAGAGACCACTTCTGCTCCTCCACTGCCATCTCCTGCTTCTGATGATAGTCTAGGTAACTTTGAATCTCTTGAGTCCATTGATCTTGATGTTCCTATTGCCAAGAGGAAGGGTGTGAGATCTTGTACTCAACACCCTATCTCACATTTTGTGTCCTACTCTCAATTGTCATCCTCAGATAAAGCGTTTGTATCCAATATTTCCTCTGTTAGCATTCCTAACCATTTTCAAGATGCTCTTGCTATCTCTGAGTAGAAACTAGCCATGATTGAGGAAATGAAAGCACTTAGGAAGAATGGCACTTGGGAATTGACTGAGTTACCTACAGGCAAACGGCCTGTGAGATGTAAATGGGTATATACTGTGAAACATAAAGCAGATGGGTCTATTGAGCGTTACAAGGCAAGACTTGTGGCAAAAGGGTTTACTCAGACATATGGCATTGATTATCAGGAGACCTTCACACCCGTGGCTAAGATGAATTCAGTCAGAGTACTTCTTTCTCTAGCAGCTAATCTAGATTGGCCGCTTTATTAGTTTGATGTCAAGAATGCTTTTCTCCATGGTGACCTTGAAGAAGAGGTATATATGGACATTCCTCCTAGTTTTGAGGATCATCAAACAGAAGGCAAAGTATGCAAGTTTCGGAAGTCATTATATGGTCTCAAACAGTCTCCAAGGGCGTGGTTTGAGAGATTCACTCAGGCTATGTTTAAATATGGCTTCAAACAGAGTCAGGCAGATCACACATTATTTGTGAAACATTCCTCACGTGGTAAGACTACAACACTTATTGTTTATATAGATGACATAGTTCTTACGGGCAATGATAGTGGGGAAATACCTCTGTTGAAGAAATATTTAGCTAGTGAGTTTGAAATCAAAGATTTGGGAAGCTTGTAGTATTTTCTGGGAATTAAAGTTGCTCGCTCTAAGGATGGGATATTTATCTCACAGAGAAAATATGTGCTTGACCTGTTGAAGGAAACTGGGATGCTTGGCTGCAAGGCATGTACCACTCCATTGGAACCCAATCAGAAATTGGGGATGATGAAGGAGGAGAAGCTGTTGATAGGAGGAGCTATCAGCGATTAGTGGGTAAGCTCATTTACCTATCTCACTCCCGTCCTGATATTGTTGTTGCTGTCAGTGTGGTTAGTCAGTTTATGCATGTTTCTCATCAGATTCACTTTGAGGCTGTCATGAGAATCTTGCGGTACTTGAAGTCTGCTCCTGGTAAGGGTCTTTATTTTTCAAAGTATGATCATCTTCGTGTGGAAGCCTATACAGATGCTGATTGGGCTGGATCAGTAACTGATAGGAGATCGACTTCAGGGTATTGCACCTTTGTTGGAGGCAACCTAGTTACTTGGAGGAGTAAGAAACAGAATGTGGTTGCCAGTCAAGTACAGAAGCTGAGTTTAGAGTTATGGCACAAGGCGTGTGTGAACTTTTATGGATCAAGTTATTGTTAAGTGATCTAAGTATTAATCAGGCGGACTCCATGCGGTTATACTGTGATAATAAGGCCGCCATCAACATCACTCACAATCCAGTTCAACATGACAGGACAAAACATGTTGAGATTGATTGCCACTTCATTAAGGAGAAACTCACTAGTGGTACCATTTGTACTCCTTTTGTCCAGTCTGGTGAACAACTTGCTGACATTCTCACCAAGGGGTTTGGGAATAAACCATTTCATGACATATTAGGCAAGCTGGGCATGAGAGATATCTTTGCACCAGCTTGAGGGAGAGTGTTAGCATATTATATCATTATCTGCGTTATTGGTTTGTAATTATTCTATGCCCTCAAGGCTTATCTTGTACTTGTCTCATCTTGTAATTGTTACAAACCCTAATCTTCATCTATATAAATAGGGGATGATATCCTATCAAACCCTAAGCTGATTACTCAAGCTTCAATTCCAAGCTGCCCAAAAAAATTGTTGTAATGCTAGTTTACTTTAAAATATTTTTATGGCTAGTGATTATGGTTTGGACTTAAGCTTGGGCTGGAGTGTGGGGTTATCATTTAGAGTAGTTGAAATGGTTGCTGGACTAGGTTCAAATCTAATCTATTCTAGGCTAAGATGCACAAACACAGACGCGTGACATCACACAAAAACGACTTTGACACGCCGACATGTAAATTTTAAAAAAAAAGGACAGACTTTCGTTGATCCAAAAAAAAAAAAAGTATATAATTTTATATATTTATACCAAGATAAATAATTATTATATAACATATATATGAATATTTAAATCAAAGATAGTGTAAAAGAGAAGAATGGGTATAATTTAGGGGGGCATACGTAAAGGTCCTAATAGGTGGACTTATTGTCCAATAGGCCCTATAATAATTAATAGCATTTTTCATCAAATATTATTAAAATACGTTACTAATTATTAATTTTCAGCAACAGTTTGAAAATTGTCACAAAAAAGTCACTGCTTATAAGTTTTAGCGACAATTTAAAAAAATCATCACAAAAAGATGTCACTAATTTTCAACTTCCAGCGACAGTTTGAAATGTTACAGAAAAATGTCACTAATTGTAAGTTTTAGCGACAATTTATAAAAATTGTAACAAAAAAAAGTCGCTAATTGTCAATTTTTAGCGACATGCAAAAAATTGTCGTAAAAAATTATTTTTAGTAACGATTTTACTAGGACTTGATGAGAGTTAAGTCCAACTGGTAGTTTACCCTATAATTTACATTGTTTTGATTTTATCATTGGACTCCAAGTTATTTCATTCAAACTTGCAATGCTTTCATGTAAGTGTTGGGACATGTTCAACAAGTGACTTGTCAACGTCGGTCATGACACATTACCTTTTTAGTAATGTCCGTGCTTCTTAGGAGTTGGGGTTAATGAACTATAGGTTAAGTAGGTGGTGGGCTGGTTTTAAGGGACTTTGGGCTTGCTGGTTTTTGGCTTAGGCTGGTGGACTGGTTCACTAGAAATTTGGAAAGGCTCAAGTTACAGGTTTGTAGCAAGGTTATGGGTGCTGGGTAGTATTAGGTTTTCAAGTTGGTTCTAGGGTTCAGATCAAAGGCTGGGTCAAGGGTTTGGGTCGGTGCAGGGTATTTCAACCCTTTTCTCTATTTGTCGCTCTCTCTCAACAAACAACTTCTGAAACAATGCAACAGCAACAACAGTGAGATCTATGGCTACCAAGTTGGCAGCCAACGACGATAGGCTAGAGAAGACTCAAATTCAATGACGAAATAGATGATCATTCAATGGGCTCCGGCAAGCGATCTGTTGTTGGCAAGCAAGATCAAAGATGGTGAGTGTTACTCCCACACAACAACGGATCGTTTTGGGCTCCAATACCAAATGGTGTAGCATCAAGAGACAAAATGACACCATGGCCACTTTAGGGTTCGTGTAATTCATTCAATCAAAGGTAAGTTTCATTCCTACATAATCCCATTTATACACGTTCCATAATCAAATACGAAAACTAAGGAAAACGAGAGACAATTAAAATTAGAAACAAATCCTAAAGTTCTAAGCTGTCAATTGGCGCCTGTAGTGCCTAAAATATGTCTTCACTCCTTCCTTTCTTGATCGCCGTCTCTCTCTTAGAGGGTCCACTACTAACCACCTCACCATTCTCCCTCCACTAGGGCAAATCAAATAAATCAGCCATTTTTTATAAACTATCTAAAGCGGTTTGGCAATGCCCATATTACTAAGAACATGCATTTGAATTTGAAGATGTTTGATTATACACTTCAATTGAATGAAGGTAGGTGTACACCTCAAGTCCAAACTATGTGCTACCGAAGGATGAACAATAGGACAACTTCGAAATATGACTTTGAAAGAGACCTACTTCAGCAATTATGGATACCAGAGACTGTGATGACTATATTCTTCATACTCAAATGGGCCTGGAAGGTAAAGAGACGTAGCATACTCTTACTGTTCTTGTGCTTTATGATGAATAGGGATTAAACTTGAGTGCCGAGGTTAAAAGGTAATCATGTATGTTATGAAATTCAGCACAGGCACTGAATTCCAATTTATAATGCCATTCCAAATATAATCAAAGCTCAACAAACAATTGCACAAAAAAGGAAAACACAAGTGTGTGCAATCAATTTGTTCCATAAAAAGAATTAAATATAAAAACTCTGCACAGAAGAATCCAAATGATGAATGTCAATCTTGCAGAAAACAAGAGCAATCCTTGAGAGAAATTGCAAAAGCAAAGTTGAATATGAGTAAGCAGCAATAAGAGACTCAATAAAGTAGGAACTTCGAATGATGTATTAGAAAAATAAAAGAAAAATACCTCCACTTCATTTTTCCCAGCTTGGGTCACTAGATCTTTGCCTTGACCCCCCAAATTTCAATCAAAAGGTGACCCCCATCATGTTAGTCTTCCTTCATTTATTTGGCAGGAACATCAAAACAGGGCATGACATGTTTGTGTAGCAGTCCCAGATGATTCAGTCAACAGAGTTGTGTTCCAAAGGACCACCATTGTTCAGTGGGTGTTCTGCCAAAAGAGCCTCCAAGTTCGGAATTGAATGGTGTACATGAGCCACAGATATAGCACATCATTGAAAACCTTCTTTTTTTCATTCTAAGACATGGACTGGTATGTAATTGCAACTATGCTATAGGCACTTCTACATAACCTTAAATGGATATTTCTGCAATCTGAAACTGAAAGAAAATGATTAGAAATGGAAAAGAATATCAACTGAACTATTTTTTGAGAATATCAACTGAACCATTGGGAACTGAATGCTAACAAAATTTAATTAATTACATAATCTAAATAGAACAAAGTGCAATACAATAATATTCATTTTTGTTCCAATGGCAATAAAGAGTATCAGCTCCTTAAGTTTTCAACTCAAAAAAGTAAAATGTTACCATCAAAAAAGAAACTTGGTCAATTTTCATATCATGCTGCCAGTTCGAGCACTACTTTCCATCCCTTTACTATTTGGAATTGTAAAATGAAGGTACGTGTCCTTCTAAACTAGGTTTTCTTACAAGCAATGAGGCAATTTTCATATCATGTGCCTCTTCATTCCATGCTGGCAGTCGGAGCAGGGTTGCAAATCAGCAAGCTTTGATTAACATCAAATTATATTCAGTTTCTAAATATCTTGGACTTTATTTTTCAGTTATATTATTCAAATCATCTGGATTCTGGAGTTATGATAACATACTCAAACTTGAATATAATGTCAAAAATAATTTTAACATCTCATTTCTCTCCTCTACCTTATCAATTTATAATTACTATAATTTTCAAACATGTATTATCAGATCAATAATCAATGAAGAAATTAATCCAAACCATCTCCCTCTGCAGCATGCCAGGTTCAAATAAAAAATTGCACTCCATTAAAAATTTCTATGGCTTGTGGGTTCTTGTTCCGTGCTCTAATCTTTAAGAATGACCTGTACCTCTTCATACATTAGAATTTAGATGATGCATCATACTCACCCGCTGACAATTTGATCTATGATGTCTTATTCTTCAAGCAAGGCAGGGCCCAATCCAGATTCTTATTCTTCATTCTCCAGATTCTCTGCCAAGGATTTATGGAATTGGTCATTCGATTTGAGCAAATGCAGCTTCCCTGCATCAAATTTTGAGAGAGAGAGAGAAAGAGAGTTCTAATCATGAATCTAAAACTAACTATATTTTTCATAATGCAAACTAGTCATTTATGCCAGCATGGACTTGATGTAGATGATCAAAATGTTATCCTTTAAAATATAGTACAACATGGGTAAACCATATAAAATTGGTCATAAGGTTTCCTTATACAAAGAACGACAGGTCCCATATACCCCATCCATATCATATCTAAGGTGATATAGCATGGAACCCCTGACGGACCCAAATTAAATTTAAAAATAATATAATTTACAGATTAATGGTATTGTTGAATCTTCTGCAAAAAGATCATCTCTCTGATGACGCTGAAGAGCTTGAAGGAACAAGAATCAACTTCTGCTGAAATACCTGAAGACAAAGAATCGATTATTGGTTTCAACAACAAATATTTGCAATTTCTTGCACATCAATAAACATCATGTTAAAAGCATTACCACCCTAAAATGTTCCAACTCGTTTGTTAATTCTGCATCAACATCCTTTGCTAAAGGTTTGCCATTACCAGGCACTAAAGGCTGGTCTCTTGTTTGACTGAGGACCTGCAACCAACATTCAGGTCAATGCAACAACAAGAGACAACTAAATCTTGTTAACTTATTCACCTTAGGGAGTCTCTCAATAATTAACTTTTTATGATAAGCAATGACTGATGAATAAGTAATTTATCCAAAAAAAAGATAAATGACGAATGAAAAAGTATTTTACTGTGATCAGCTACCATTTCATGCCATTAATCATCACACAAAGTTGGAGTACAGGGCATGCAGACAATAAACTCCAAACAAAAAAAAAAAATTCTCCCACCTCTAGAATAATCTTTTTATCTCCATTGTAGGGTTCAAAACATAGAAAACCATTAGTGAATCATGGCCTTCACTTTTAATATAAGAAATAGTTACGATAAATTTAAACTCAAATTCCACAATTTTGCAATTTAAAAAAATTAATATTATTATTTTTAAAGAGAAGTCATTCCAGAAAGTAGGCTGGCTAGTTGCAACACATTCCTCAATAGCATACCAACAGACTATGTACTCCATAGCACACACCTCATTTGATACTTATAACACTTTCTCTAATTTTACATTATATAGAAACAGATGAAATCCAAGGGGAGTGTAATACCATAGACTAAGGTCACTTTAATTGTTCTCCTAGAGACGTTACATATGTAATGCAATGCCAGCAGCCAACAGAATGGGGCACAGTTAATTCTATAGGGCCCTGGCTATCGCAGTTCACTTCTCCAGTTTCTCACTCCATATGTTCCTTTCACACATGTCCTGGGGGTTTGAGATTTGCACCAGCCCATATCTCCAACCAAGCCATAAATGTCCAAAGAAATCACTGCAAGCTTGACATTGCTCTGCCTCTTCCAATTACATTCCTCCAAAAAATAGCACTAAAATAATCCTACCATCCAAACCTCTCTAGCTTCCTCCTGTTAGTTTAGAATAGAAAGGCTAATGTAAGGCAACATTACAAAACTTAGCATTGTGCAACACACAAGTGGCTTTATGATGGGAAACAATCAGAGAAAGACTTCCAGTTAAAAAAGAAAAAAAAAAATTTGAAGGGTTTGTAGTTGGAAAGAGGATAGAGTTACTCAAGTTTAAAAGTGACAAGTTGCTGAATTTTCAGAAAATAAGTGCTGGAGATATAGGTCATAAGTAACCATGGAGGTTTGAGCGTAAAGCCAAAAGCCAAGAAATGGTTTAGCTTAGGTCTTAGTAGCCTATGGATATGGTAATGGAATTAAGGACAAATCTAGTTTGTTGAGAAGCCTTTTTATGGGGCAGCAAATGGTAAGTCAGATATTTTTGCTGCTTTGAGTTGGTGGAGGGAAAGATTGGGGGGTCATCAAGGTAGGAGGAGTTCAAGGTTGGAAAACATCATTTAGGTCTGGTTGCAGCTTAATGAACAAGAAAAGATAAAGAAGATTATACAAGGGGTTAAGCTTAATTACATGAACACTGTCTCAAGTTCTCCAAACTCAGTCAAATGAAATGCATGCCCGGTGCCCACATTGATATGTATGGATTACCAAACTTTAACTACATATACTGTAGACAGGACAATGGAATTGGAAACTTCTACATTTTAAGTCCTAAGAATATAGCAAGGGCCACAAGATCAATCAATATAATTATAAGACCCATAAACCATAACTACAGCCCATGTCGAATAACAAGACCCTAAACCACCACACTTCAGGATATCTCTTAATTCTTCAAATGAATAAATTCCAGGTTCACTTTGATTGATAAGTTTGAAGCCAAATGATGTAAAATACAACTTTATAAACTTCAACAGTATTCACTAAAATTTACATATTTATTCTTTTGTTTGTTTTGTTTTTTGCTTCTTTTTTTACATCACATGGTGGGTTTTGAAATCTTTAGTTGCCGATGAATCATAAGTGTCAGTCAAGTCACCAATTCTCAAAAAAGCTTAAGCAGTTAGAAAATGGCCCAACAATGTATATCAAACTATTCAACACCCTCCCTCACGTGCAACCTCGTCTTGCATGTGGAGAGACAAACATATAGAACCAAACTAAAAGAGAAGCAGACAACCAAACAGAAAAAAAGAAACCATACGGGGACCAAAAATATCAAATGCCAATTACCAGGCTTGAACCCAAGATTTCTCACAACTTGAGCTTTGATAACATGTTAAGTCATCAATTGTCCCAAAAGCTAAGAAGTATGGACACGTGACACGACATATACATGCAGACATGCAAATTTTCAAAAATGCAAGACACGACACGTTAGGGACACGTGCAAAATATATAATTATATATATTTATTATGTCATATTTTTAAATATTTAATATATTTTATGTCAAATATTTTAATTTTATCAAATTTATCAACCTTAGGGTATCTCCAATGATTCATATTTTTTTCACTAAATTTGAGTAAAAATTTGAATAAAAGCTTCCTTTAATATCAAGTGCTCCAACGGAGCTTCATCAAACCACCGGTCGACTAGGTGGATGTCTGGTCGGTCGACCGACCAATGCAAATTTTTCACAAATTTTTGCCTTGAGGTGAACATTCGGTGGTGAAAATCCAACGGCAATGAATAGTGATTTGATAAAAGGCACATCCGTCCTCAGTTTGATGAAAGATTTGAGAAATCCTGGATTTGATGATCTATTTGATGAATGGTTAGAGCAGCAAAAAGCAAGCTTTTTCATCAAATTTAAATTTGATGAACCATTGGAGATGGTCCTAGGTATGCTATTTTAGTTAAAAAAAAATTAAAAATTTTAATTTTTTTTGAACAAAATAGTCCTCAGCGTGTCCCCAAAGTGTCCTCAGCTTGAGCATGTCCGTGTCTGTCACGTGTCGGAAACTGTACGTGACCTCCAAAGAGTTGTACATGCTTCATAACTCGTCACGTGTCAGAAACCTATACATGACCTCCAAAGAGTGGTACGTGCTTCATAACTCAAAAGCTTAAGTTGTTAGGAAATGGGCCCATATATCAAACTATTCAACAGTGTCTAGCTCAAGTGCTTTCTATTGATGCCGTCATTGCAAGATGAGCATGTTCCAAAAACTACCTCACGGACAAAGATATTATAGCCATCAAAACACGGTCTCTTACTTGGTGGTTAAAGAATACCATGATATGCAAGATATGTAACAACCCTCTCATTGGAAACCAAACATTTAAGTAGTTCACTATAACTACAAACCAAAGAAAAAAAATCTCTTGTCTCTTCCTTTGGGGAAAAGAGAGGGGACTTCTCTTGAAACTGTGGTCAATATTTGAGAAACAATTAGCCACTCCAACATATGCTTCCTTTATTAATGACAACCCAAATAATATTTGGAAATCTTGATAGAAGATTGAAAAGATTGTAACATGTCCATGATTTAGAGAAAATTGCTTAGTTGCACAAAGAGGGAGCGGAAGAGTGAGGGCACCATAGAACAATCTAAGGTTGGGAGCACCTAGGGAAGCATTTATGATTTTATATATAAATATATTGTAAGTTTTGTATCTTTTTTTTTTTTGGTAATATATATATTTCAAATGTATATATATGGTACACACTAGACTACTAAACTGTTTAACAAAAGCATAGTAAATTTTCATTGTATTGTCTAGCATATGTTCTTGTCCAGTTCCTATTTCAATTCGTTTTTCATTCTGATGTAGATTGATAAGTTTTATCCTTTTTTTTACCACAAACTATATATGTTCTTTACAAATTTTACTTTGTCTTGGTAATTTTTCGTTCGTTCCTCTAGGATTCATATGTTTCAGGTCTTGTACCAGTTGAACAACAATTATATCTTGATGAGTGAGGTTCTAACTCAATTCTTGCTCTCAACTGCAAAATTGCAGTTCTAGAGCAAAAGCGTCACTCCAGTAGTAGGCAAGTCACCCCTAGTAAATTCATGCAACTAAGGAAAATTGACCAAGATGTTGGGTAAATAAGCCCCTTTCTGGTGAAATAAACCTTTTCCTTATTCTAAGGAACAAGAACTATGAAATGAAGCATAATATACAGGCTCACTTTTCCTTTTGTCTTTGGAAGGTTAGATTTTTCCACTAAATTTTATGATGAGAAAAGGTTTGGGAACCATTAGTTGTACTAAATATCTCACCATAAAGTAGAAGGCAATAGTTTTGGAGAATAAATAAAATTTAATAAAGTTAGACCAAATAAAAGTTGAATGCAATTGGCAATTTTTGTCACTTGTGCTTTCTATTGTGGTAAGCGAGACCTAAAAATCATACTTGCAAAAGATTCATCAAATAGTTAACTTACAAACATTACCAGAAGAAAAAGTTGATTTGAGTATTCATCTACAACTAGATAGAAATCTACCAGTTTGAAACCTTCATGAGAATGTGAAAACTCCATATCTTGAATGTTGATGGACATGTACTCCTGTAATAGAACAGATACGCGTATGATTGCACAAAGGATTCTGAATTTCTGCTTTACCTGAAATTATCAATACCGTATGTTGTTATAAACAAACATAAAGTAGTTTGTTTTTCTATGTACTACTTGAGTAGATGTCTATGCTTTCCAGGAGATACAGTAGTATATACCTCTTTGGTGAATCCCTGAAGAGAATGATGATCCAATTTTGGAAATTTCTTTCTGTGATGTCTAGCAAGTAGGGCGATTATCTGAAAACTAATGACAGGCCATCAGTATCAATACAATGCTAACTCTAAGAATTTTCATGGTTACTCAAAAAGAAATCATTGTATGGAAAAAGGTACACCATTACAGCAACAATTTACCTTAACCTCCTCAGAATCATAACCATGAAGTTGATCACCATTCTGTTGCAAAAATATCAAGGTTGTCAGGAGCAAAAATTACAAAGAAAAACATAAAAATAAGAGTTCTTTGAGTAATGGAGGATGCTTAAGTTCCATAGTCATCGACATGATTCTCAATACATATTTATTGAGTGTTAGTTTTTTAAAGGAATCATATGCACAGCAGAAGTAGAACTCCTTCCAATTAAACCATGAAACTATTCCAATGGGGTCCACAAATTATGATTGACACCTAACAGTAACAGTATATCGCAACTACCCTAAATTATATGAATACACAAAGAAAACCCTTCAGTTAGCAGTTACCATGCAATTTAATCATTTCATCATCCAATGTCCTGATTAAGTCAATTGGGCATGAAAAACTATCAAACCCCTAGTGCAAACATATGTGCTCAATCTAACTGATATGACTTAGGTGGTGAAATTACAGACTCCTTTCCAATTATTACCCTGCCCTAGTCAAGATCTTCCTTGAGTGATATCATAGAAGATCACATAAAATATTTTCTCTTTACTAGAGTGTGATTGTGATAAATCCGCAATTGAACATTCACATGTCTCCGTGCACATATCACTAGGCCCAATTAATGAGATCATATTTCATAGTTAAAACATAAACACAAATTATAAGTAAACCTTAGTTCCGCAAACACAGAATAATCGTGATACTCTCAAGGATTACATGCATAACCTAAGAAACACAGATGCAGATGCATGACAAGACACAATCATGCTGATACAAAAAATTTCAAAAAATGTAAGACACGACAGGTGGGCAACCAAACCAAACCTTAAGTCTCATCAAATAGGGTCGCCTACATGAATCTTTCTTCTCCCCTCGACTCTATCAACGGCCGTTTGGTTAGTCAAATTAAAGAGATTTATATCTCTATTTACTACACTAACCCACGTTAATTTAGGTCTACCACTTCCTCTAATACTTCCATCTACCGTCACTGTATCACATCTCTTCATTATTGCCTCCGTTGGTCTCCTATTGTATATGACCAAACCATCACAATCTATTCTCTCTCAACTTTTTTTCTATCGATATTACTCCTACCCATTCACGAATATACTCATTCCTAACTCTGTTTTTTCTAGTTTCGCCACACATCCACCTTAGCATCCTCATCTCACCAACACTATTGTTTCTTAGTTGCCCAACATTCCGTCTTATACAATATCGTTGTCTAATACCCATTCTATAGAATTTTCTTTTTAATCTAGTGGGTACTCGTTTATCACACAATACCTCAAATGCACTCCTCTACTTAAGCCACCCCGCCTTAATTCTATAAACCGCATCCGCTCCAATCTCTCCAGCCGTTGTGATAATCGACACGGATCTATAGGTGAATCTATTGTGGAAGTGAATTTCTAGTGAATCACACGATTCACAATCGATTCACTTTTTACGATTCATGCAATTCTTAAAACTATCATGTTCGACATATTTCAATTCATTTTTTTAATTAAAATGACATAATACAACTTCTAATAGTGTTTAGAACGAAAACAACAAATATATATATATATGATTTGTTGTCATTTTGGAAATCAATAAGTTTTTAATAAGATCCAATCAGATTCAGTCAGACCTAATACATTTTTAACATTTTCTTCTCATTTTTTTTCTCTTAAAGAAGATCACAACATATATTCTAAAGATTTTTAAGGTTAAAATAACTAGTGTTACGAATTATCTATTACTATTTTATTGAAATAAATATACTTCAATATTACATGGGTGAAGTCAGTTAAATCTAATGATTTTACAAGTTCTTTATTATTGGGTCATTGTTACTTATAAAGGAATGTATGCTTATGAAATATATCAGCATCATTGATAAGTTATTGTTACGTGAAAATTGAGAGTTTATCTTTGTTTACTTTCTTTATTAAGAATGGTTGATAAACTATATCTAAAAAAGAGAAAAGATAAGATGGTGATCTTATGTAAGAACTTGTGTTAACTTCTTACTTATTAGACCACGTAATCATCATTCAAAATAACATTTTCATTAATTTAAGTTTAAATATTTTATATTTATAAGATATATTTAACATTCAAGTGTGTATATATATTTTTCTAAGTAATGTAGAAAAAGTGACTAAATCTTTACAATTCACGATTCGATTCGTGATTCGATACAAGGCCATTTCGATTCACGATTTAACAACTATGAGGATAAGTAATTATTATAGGAAAAAGATCATTTAAGTGGAAAATATGAAAAATATTTTCATATTAGTGACAAATTTGCAACATTAAAAAATAAACTCAAAACTTTTCCATCAAACTGAGATTATTTTTTGAACTTACCACTAAATTGTTATTTTCCCATTATTATATATAATTTATATGAATATTTAATTCAAAGATAATAACAAAATACAATATTAACACTAATTTCTAAAGTCTAAAAGAGAAGAATAGGTATAAATTTCATTGTTTTCTTTTATCATTGGATTCCAATTTATTTTATTTAAACTCGTATTGTCTGTCACGTGTATTTAAGCAATAGACACGTGATTTTCAAATGTCTAAAACATATCTGAATTTAGAAAATTTTAAAAAATAATAAGACATATTTGGATGTGTGTCCAATAAGTGTCAAGAAGTGTCCAATGAGTGTCGTATCGGTGTTTGACATGACACACTACCTTCTTAGAAGTGTTTGTGTTTCTTATTACACAACTATAACTCATAAATGTCTATTTGACAAGTAAGTAAAATGCCATATATATATATATATATATATTTAGGGGTGGTTTGGAATGATCTAAATAGGTGCACTTTTTGACTTTTTATGAAATATGGATTGAGTATGGGTTCGGTTTGAAGTGATGTGGTAGAGAGATGATATAACTTAAATAAGATGATGTGACTTAAATAGGATAGTGACTTTTTAACTTTTTGACTTTTTTAGGTTATAACAAACAAGGCCTTAATTTATTTATTAGTGGCCATGCTCAATGCAAGTTGTTTGCTAATAAACACCAACACGTTTGCTTTAGTGTCTCTGTACCGGTGACTAATCACTTTTGCAATTAAGCCAACATAACATATTCTAGTTTTATTGTATTAATGCCCAATTAATGATCCTATAACTAAAAACATTTAAGAATATAAAATGTCCTTTATTATTAACTAAATAATTAAATGATACAATTGTTTTACAAAAATATATAGATAGATATAGATATATATCCCAACCACATTTACTAAATTGGCTTTTAGGGCACAACACTAACAAGGACTTCTACATGTAGTCATTATCATGGTTGCCACTACTTTGGTATCCTAGGGCTGGGAGTTAAAAAGAATAACATCATATTTTATTTTTCATTAATTTCCTTCAACTGATTTAATAGTGTTCAATTAGAATATGCCAACATATTTAAGAGTTGCCATATCAGAAACATTGCTAATAACTCCCATCCCTCCAGCAACTACTCCAGCTAAGGAATATGCTCTCTCCATATAGAGTAACATCTATTGATTCTTTCTTTAAGATTTTTCAAGAATAAAAAAGTTCTTGGATAGGTTTCTTGTTATCACTGGATTCCTTTATTTTCTTTGCAATACATTGTCAACTAACTCAAAACTTCAAGATATCTCTGATGCTGAATAATTCCCTTGACCATACTGTCATGCATATTTTAATGTTGAAACACGTACCATGATGATATGGTAAGACTGCTTATGGTAACCCTTCTTTCCATTAAAGAGTCCAATATTGTGAAGTAAGCAAGCAGCTTCAAGATATTCAAGATCCTTGTCAACTAAGGAGTCTGCAAGTTTGTTTCCACTATCACCAAGTTCATTCCATTTACTTATACCTTCAAACATTTCCTGTTAATATAACTTAGTAAGACAAAACATGAGACCAAGTGTTTCACTTTTAAATATGTTCACATGAGTTCAAATCACCTGATACCTTTGCAATGCCAGCACATAATGCAGCAGATTTCATCTTCTTGTTGTTGTTAAACCTGGTCGCAAGGCGCACTACAGATCGCCATCGAGCATTTGCATTTAAATCATAGTCATCAAATACACCAGCTAGTTGTTCAGCAACCACACCCTCCCCTAATGAATACCCAGAAACCTCCATCTCCTCAATGCCAAGCATCCCAAATATCTCTTCCAATAACACTGCACCTGCCACGATAAACTCCGATCGCCTCTTGAAAAACCCATCTCTCTCAAACTTCTCTTCCATTCCACACAACTTCCCAACAACATCACTCAATTCTCCTCTGCTAAACCTCCAATCTCGCTTATACCCATCAATTAGCCCCACATTATCCAAACCCTGGCCATATCGATGAAAAACTGCCTTTTCAATTGCACGAATGGTACCGGAAGAACCGATAACAAGTTCAAAACCATGTTCACAAACCTTCTCAATCAACCCAGATTGTCGAATCAAACTTCGAATGTGATCTCTCATTCTATCGATTTCATTCATCTTCACGAATTCCTCAGTTAGAATTACATGCCCCAGCTTCAACGAAGTTGCGAAAATAACATCCCCTTCTTTTCCAATCACGAATTCAGTCGACCCACCTCCGATATCGATGGTGAGGACTTTTTGATTGAAAACAGGGAGAAATTGAAGAACACCGATATAGGTTAATCGGGCCTCTTCTTCGCCGGACAAGACATCGACATGGAACCCTAGGGTTTGGCGAATGGTGTGGAGGAATTGGGATTGGTTCGAGGCGTCTCGGATTGCGGAGGTGGCAACGACGCGGGTTCGGGAGGGGGAGACGTGGTGGGAGAGGAGTAGATGGTGGAATTTGCGGAGGGAGTCGAGGGCGCGGAGAATGGAGGCGGCGGAGATGGCGGAGGAAGGGGTGTCGCGGCCGAGGACGACGGGGTGTTTGAGGCGGTCGAGTTGGAGGAAGCGGCCGGTGGTGGGGTCGGCGCGGACGATGAGGAGTTTGAAGGAGTTGGTGCCCATGTCTGCGGCGGCGAAGAGGTTGTTGGAGGCGGAGGAGGAGGGTGGATTGACGGTGGTTGGGAGATTCGTTGCCATTACTTGGTGGTGGTGGTGGTGATTGAGCTTTGCTTCGTCGTTGTTGTTGCTGCTGCTGCTAAGTTGTAATTAACGCTTTCATCGTCATCGTGGATTCATGGGTCTCTGTTATAGACTAAGATTACTCGACTGACATGGAGGAATTCCAATCCTTGTTAGAAGTGGCTTCCTCAAAACAAATATTTTGATATAACCCAATACATATAAATGTGTAAATGCAAAATGGAAGGGTGTAACTGCCTTGCATACCATATGCAAGGCACACATGAGAAAAGTCCTTATATTAATTCTTTTGTCACTGTAATTATTTAATAGTGTTAATTTTTAAATTAAAATGACACATTTATTTTTGAGCAAGGATCCTCTAGAGTGATTTTTCCCTAAAGTTTCCTAAAGTGTTACATTGTGTGGTTGAGATTTACTAGCAAGTCACATCAATTTTTCTGATGTGACTTGTCAGTAAATCTCAACCACACAATGTAGTACTCTAGGAAACTTTAGGAAAATTTCACTCTAGAATATCCTTGGTGTTTATTTTTAACCTTTACATATATTTAAAGGTTAAATTATATTGACACTCCCTGATGTTTCAATTTAATACAGATCTTCCTGACATTTCAAAAAGTACACTTCTCTCTCTGTCAATGTTTGTTTAATAGAACTAATGGAAAAAGTGTAATGACATTAATACCCTTCACTAAAGATATTAATTTATGAAATTACTATCATCTCTTCCACTTTCATTTTTCTTTTCTACTCTCAATGTTACTGGTACAATGACTCTCTCACCGTCACACTATGGGTTTATATCGATGACCCACCTCTGTAATCCCACAAAGAAAAAAAAAATGCCAAATTTAATATCAGTGGTCTAGATTTAGGCCAAGTTTGACATGATTGAAAAAAGATAAAAAGTCAAAAAGTCACTATCCTATTTAAGTCACATTATTTTATTTAAGTCACATCACTTCTCTAACACATCACTTCAAACCCAACCCAAACCCAACTCATATTTCATAAAAAGTCAAGAAATGCACTTATTTAGTCTTTCCAAACTAGGCCTTATTTAAAGTATGGGCTCACAACACTTGAGTGGTGTTTGATACTGAAAACTGAAAATTAAAGACCGAAAATTAAGTATTGAAAACTAAATGCTTAATTTGTTAAACTAAAAACTGCTTGATAAAAATTTAAGTGCTAAATAAAAATAAGTTGTTTGATATATATTAGATCAAATTTGAAATTTATTTTTTTCAAGTTGTACATTTTAATTTTTATATTGTGATGATGGCAATAGTAGTAGCGGTGGCGATGGCATAGTGGTGGTGGAGATAGAAATGGTAGTGATAGTAAAATGATCATGGTGTTTATGACAATAATGACAATAGTGATGGAAGTGATGGTATAGTAATGGTGGTGGTGGCGGCAGCGGCGGCGATAGTGGTGGTGATAGTGGTAGCGATGGCATGACAGTAATGGTGGTGGTAGCATGGTAGTGATGGTGGCGGTGGTATGATTTGATATTCTTGATTTTTTTTCCTGATTCCATTTATCAGACTATAGAATTTTTTATTTTTGAATGCATGTCAAGTCAATGTTGGGTGGGGTACAATATTTTAGATTTTTCTTTCTTTTTTAGGGATTGTTAAATAGTTGTTATTGTTAGAGCAAGATAATTAAAGCATTGTAAGGTTGTGATTGGTTTATGTAATACAAAGTGATGTAGAAGGAATGAATGAAAATAATGGATAAAAATCAAGGATAAATATGGTACTTTAAAAAGAATTATTGCTGACATAAGCAAACATTGTGGGTTGACTTAACCAGCAACTAACCAAGGGGGCAATTTGCTATTTTAAACCTTGGGAAGGGGGTTGTAATTTCTAAAATATGAGGGGAGAAGTTGTATTAGTTGCAAACACCAAAGGGTGTTAATGTAATTTACCCCTGAGGAATAGAAGAGAAATACAGTGAGGGCAAAATTACTATTTAAAAAAAATTAAACTACTGACATTAGTAAAATCTGTTGGTTGACTTAACAGTCAACTAACTGAAAGGAGAATTTGCAATGAAACTTTAAACTTCAAGGAAGATAATGTAATTTCCAAAAGGTCAAGGGTACTAATGTCATCAGAACAAACCTCAGGGGGTGTTAGTGTAATTTACCCTTTTTTTTTAATCTTATTTCTTTTGATAACTTAAATTATTCATATTTTAGAACTCATCGAATATATTATTTTGTAAAAAATTAAGTCGATCGGATAATGACAATTATGTGTTTAGATATAGACTGTGAGAAAATAAATAATTCATACAAAATTAATCCGAATATGTGTTTTTCATTATCCGATCGATTTATTTTTTTTACAAAAAAAATGTATCTGATGAATCATAAAATATGAACAATTTAGTTTATCAAAACGAGAATAAAAAATCGATAATGGGCTGGACTAACTGTCTAGTCCGATAAAGGACTAAAAACAATCCAATCCCAAAGAGCACTGCTGCAGACCCCCAGTAGGGGCTGACTCCTACCACCCCTACATACACGTGGAGAATAAAGAGAGAAGGAAAAAAAAAAAAAAATAATAATAATAATAATAATTTTTTGACCAATCAACACCCACTGGGTGCTGGGGTCTCCCCCATTTTCCAATCCCAAAATATATACGTATGGATTTGTAATTTCCTATTAACAGAATCTTGTCTCTCACCTAAAAAAAAAACAAATTACTTTGTATATGATAAGAATTTTTATATAATTTTATAAATTTAACGCTAGCAGTGTGTATTTAGGATTTGCTTTTTTTTGGAATATTTTGTTGCTTTATTTTCGTTTTTAGTAATTTTTGTATAAAAATTTAAATAATTTAAGATCTTTAAATTTTATTTGACAAGTCGAATTGAATTTTTTTTTTAAAAAATCAAAATTCAAAAAAATAAAATAAAATAAAAATCAGAAAAGACAAAAATAATGAACCTTTTTTTAGTTGTTTTGTTTATTTTAATTTTTTTTTTAAATTACATTTTAGATTTCTCTACACAAGACACAATAGGGAAGAAAAAAAAAAGTTCAAAAACAAATGTGACTTATCGAAATGTCGCATTCAAATTATAATCATTCCATTGTTCTCTCACAAAATTATAAAAATAAAAAAAAAAATTTAAAAAAACTACAAGTTTTTTTTAAACAAAATTTTCAAGCTCAAATAACTAAAAAATAAAAAAATCAAACTAAAAAATTCTTCCCAAACGAAAACTAAACGCATTAATAATCTCATCATGGTAAGCTTTGTTGTTTATATTTGGAAACTGAATTATATATATATATATATATTAAGCAACATTTAGATATTATGAAACTTAAGAGTAGTGTATTATAATATCATAATTATCATATTTTGTTTGGAAATATGTTATTTTAGTAATTTCTTAATTTTTTACAAAAAGATAGATAGAAAATAAGAGATGTGATGTGACCTCACAAAGATAAAAAGACAATAACTATGTTATTTTAGGTTAACCCAAATGTTATTTGCCAACTGAATATTGGTGTATTGAATTTTGGGATTTTTACAAGCCAATCATATTTTCAAGGGTTATTACCCAACAGGTTCTTAATGGAGACTCTTTTACCTATAGGTCTTGAACATTTTTGTTTATTTCGTTTTTGCCCTCATGTTTTTATACTGAGATTTGGAGATGAAAAATGAAGAGACAGGGAGATGGCTGTGAGAGAAAATATATATTTGCTTGGTGGACTGTCGGCAACACCATGGATGGTCCGATTGAAAAAGAAGAAGCCAGATTTACGAATCCAAATCCAGAAATTAAAAGGTCGAGCATATCTACGCCATGGATGGTCGGTGGGGAAGAGAGAGCGAAAGAAAGAGAGAATCTGCCATCATCACCGCCGCATTCAAGGAGAATGTTCACTACGAAGTTTAGATCTACAACTGTCGTAGTCCACCATTACCGAGCTATACATGATGATTTCCGGCGAGTTTCCGGTTGTGCTCGGCCGAGCTATACAGGGATGGTAAGATCATCCACATTGAGATTGCGCGACGTGGACGGTGGAGTGGTAGAGGACAACGGACGACGGCTGTGATGGCAATTCAGATATGAGATTGATTAGAAAGAAAGAGAAAGAGAGAGAAGATAGAAGAGAGAATTGGTTAGGAAGGAATGAGATTTGAACAGATAGTCCATTGAATATGTAGAAAGAGATTTAGAGGTATGCGTATTAATGAAGAATATGATAAATCTGTTTAAATCAATGATAAATTTTTTTAAACTAGTGATAAATCAGTTATAAATTTGTTTAAACTAGTGATAAATTTATCATTGTTGAATTTTTGTAATTTTATTTTTGTGAATTGGTAAGTGAGTATGTATGTATATGAGTATGAAATTTATCACTGATAACATTTTATTAGTGATAAATTTATCATTGCTAAATTATTGTGAATTTGTTTTTGTGAATTAGTAAGTGTGTGGATGTGTTTTTTTGAATTATTGAGTGAGTGTGTATGTATGTGAGTATGAGAGAACAAAAGGAACAAAAGAAAGACAACATACATGGGAGAGCTCATGGGGGAGAGCTCGTGAGCAACTTCTTGCTTCACGTGTGTGGTGTGATATTGAAGGGTAAAATTGGAAATGAAAATAGGATAGGACTTGGCCGGTATTAACTTACTTCCATGGGACCGGCCGGTAAGTCCCCATTGAATTTTATCAGTTATGTACATTTTCCATGCAATATTATTAATTAGACTAACATACCAGATGATAATATAATGTGGTAGAAATAAATAGTCACTATAACATTATTATTAAGTAACAGATTAAATAAGTTTTATTAAATCAATGCCCTTAAAATTCAACAAACTTTCATGAAAATTTAATATAGATTTTTCTCTTTCAATAATTCCATCCATTTCAAACATTTTAAATTCTATTATCAAAGATCAATTTCATCAAATTACTTCATTCCAAACAAATTAAAAAACTTTCATATTTATAAGATCTCATCTTTATAATGCGACCAATTTTCTTTTCAATTACAATTTCTTCAAGTAATCACCATAGATCATTGTGTTCAATTTCACCATAATATGTTGCTATTGTCGGACATCCTAATCAAGTGTTGCCAATTTGAGAAGATGGTTAAAAATTGAT